AATATTTAAGGACATGAAAGTATCAGAATGACAGGATGAATACTGAAAATATAAATGCAATGTATGACAAATATTATTTTTAAACACCTAGGAAAATATTTCTAAAACTTAAAGGCTTGTTTTCTATTGTTTAAATGTGTCTAGCATATTCTGTAACAAATGTAGTACCCATCATACTAAGAAACTTTTTTAGCAAAACATTAATATACTTAAACTACAGACCTTAAATTAAAATCATATCTACTCATACAACAACTCTGGACTTTCCATTGCTACTAGTTTGGTAATGGACTATCCAATAAAAGATTGTATTTTTAAGCACATTTTTATTTCACAAGTATGAAGTATATGTGATAACATGTGGCTATAATGAGGTCAGAGATGAAAATAATGACTATAACCCAAGATAGTACTGCAAAGAGATACAATTGTTCTCAGTGATTTATTCCTCTCTTATGAGAAACTTAGGTTTACTAACGTTCAATGATACTAATTATTATAAAAAAAATACTTGATGTCCTTCCTTAACCATGCTTTATAATACTTTAAAGGATAAATCAAGAGTTTGGTTTAAGCCGAGACCGGTTTGGCTCAGTGGATAGAGCGTCGGCCTGCGGACTGAAGGGTCCCAGGTTCGATTCCGGTCGGGGGCATGTGCCTTGGTTGTGGGCACATCCCCGGTGGGAGTGTGCAGGAGGCAGCTGGTTGATGTTTCTCTCTCATCGATGTTTCTAGCTCTCTAGCTCTCTCCTTTCCTCTGGTAAAAACTCAATAAAATATATTTTAAAAAAAAAAGAGTTTGGTTTAAGACCCCAGACTTCTATAGGAAGGCTCTACTCTACATGCCCATGAACAGAGAAAGACAGCTGTGAGGAGGGTGCCTCCCCACCAACCACAGCCAAGGGTAAGCCAAAGCTTCCTGCTAGTCTCTTTCAGAAAAGAAGGTGAAACAGGAACTGCCTCAACCAAGCTGACCTATGAATCAGTTAGGTTCTACTTCTATCGATCTTCTAACCAAAACTATGTTTTAGTAATTTATGTCATGAAGAAAAGACAAAAAGTACAACATTCTCACTGTGGGACAAGGTTCAACGTATGTAAACATCCTTTTAAGGTAGGCAATAATGCCCTAATTATCAAATCCAAAAAATTGCTTTTCTTGGTTGTCATTCTCATTGGTCTCTCCACCAAACATGCTACGTTGGTGGGTATACGAGGATGCTGCTCCAAGAACTGATCATAAGATTGCTCTCAAAAAGATGTTCTAACATTTCCTCTGTTCATATCTGTCCCCCTGAAAAAGTCCCAGAAAGAACCCATCAATGTTCCTCCTGAATGCCTTGGTTTCCAATACAGTTCTGTTCTATATCACTTTAGTAGCCTCTTAGAAGTATTTTGAAAATATGGAGTTCAAAAGTACATTCTGCCACATGGGTATTTTAGTATAGTAAATTAGGAACACTGACTTAGCCACAGGACCACATACAGGTTATACATGGTAGCAGCACTGGTTTGATTAAAGTTACTACCATGCGCATTGACACCACATAAGGTGTACTGGGATGGGCATGTGAACACTTTCCACCCTGGAATAATATGATTTAAAAATGTCTTCTTGGTTTTACACTATGTCCAAAGGGATACTATTGGGTTGAGTTGTATTTGCAATAGAGAGAAAAAGCCATTAGGTTAAGCATATGATTCAGAAGAAAGGGGATGGAAGAATGATGGTAGATACTTGCTGGGGAGGTATGCTGAATGCTGTCATCCTTTGGTTTATCCCAAACTAACCTTGGGCTTCTACATACACTGGCTTTGTTTGACCCTCTTATTTTCCCCTGAAGGTTTAATTAAGTTCGACCATATTCTGTCAACTGTTTTAGTTTCAGTGGAATCTTGTATTTCTGGCTTAGTATAACAAGAAATTGTTCCCTCAAATGTAGAAAAAAAAAAGGATTGCCTCAAATAATTAGACTGTAAATTATAAACTCAGAAAACGGATGGACAATTTCAATTAAAGATGTAGAACTCTAATTGCTGTAAGAGTAAATAATCTGATGCAAGATACTGAGTAACATACAGGGTGGGGAAGAAGATTTACAGCTGTTCATATGGACAATAATGCAATAATCCTATATGATAAAAGGGTAATATGCAAAGCGATTGAATGGTGGAACGACCAGTGGCTATGCAGGAGCTGCCCCCTGGTGGTGAGTGTGCTCCACAGGGAGAGACCCACTCAGTCAGAAGCCGTTGGTGGCGGGAGCACCTCCACAGCAGTCAGACATTCCCCGAAGGCACCTGGACTGCAAGAGTGCACAGGCCTGGCCGAGGGACACCACCCCCACCCCTGCCCCCCGCACGTGTGCATGAATTTCGTGCATTGGGCCTCTAGTTAATAAATAATAGTATAAGAATAAACTCTTGTGTTTTGCATATTCACAACTATAAACCTTTGCCCCCACCCTGTATTTAAAGACAGGACACTTTCAGAAGATGAGAAGGTTGGTCTAAAATGGAAGTAGGAGGCATGAACACTAGTGTCTAACTGAGCAATGATTAGGCAAACTGACTTTATAAACAACCATCCATCTGGCAAAATATCCTGCATCAAGGACATATTTCTCCTTATACTGAGTGAAAACCGATATTTTAAAATTACCCAAATCTATTACTTCTGCTCTTTTGTAAAGTCTATCATAGGCTGCTCTATCTAAGTGAAGCGTACTTTCTAGTTGAGCAACAAGTACTTCAGATTAGTTTATTGTTGTTAAAGTAAAAATTTCAGACTCTACTCTATGAACTTAAGACCAAGCTTGTCAGGGAAATTGATCTATACGATGAGTCAGGAAACTTCCAAGAGATTCAGTAATTTGCCCACAGTGATTCCTCTAAGTAAATGAGCCCAGATTTGTATGATTCCAAAGCATGTACTGTTCCCTTTACACCAAGGATATAGGGAATCTGTCAGTACTGAAACAATTCATGTTTTCATTGACAAAGAATGATTGATTACATTCTTAGAAAGAAATAATTCTTCCTAAAGCTATTGATAAAATAATTTTTAATTCCTCTAATTCAGATAAAACTTTGGTTTAATTAATGAACAGAGAGATTCAAATGAACATGCACTCACAAAACTAAGCCTAGATGGACTGAAGCCCTTACACCACTGTCTTTTCTAGTGCACCAGGACATAAAGGAAAAATGGATTAATATCTGTAAAAACAGCATCAAATTGAAAAGGGAACTCACTGTATGGGAGACCATACAGTGGGGCCTTGACTTACGAGTTTAAATCATTCCGAGACCGAGCTCGTTAAGGAGCTCGTTAACTCAAATTACTCTACCAACTCAATGCAAAAAATTGGCCGAGAGACAGCTGGTATCTCAAAAAACTCGTTAGTCGGGACACTCGTAAGTCAAGGCCCACTGTATTTGCCAATGATATATCTGATAAGGGGTTAATTTCCAAAATATATAAAGTTGTCATACAACTCACCAAAAGGAAGACAAACAATCCAATAAAAAAAAAATGGGCAGAGGACCTAAACAGACACTTCTCCAAAGAGGACATACAAATGGCCAAGAGA